TGTCTATGGGTATGTTCAAATATTTTCCAAACAGCAGTAACAAAATTAGAATCCACATACAAGTACATAGAACTTCGCAAGACCCATCAAACAATGATAGCCAGCCAGCCAGTGGCACATACATCAAAATAAGCAATACAGTCTCAAGTATAAGTATTGGCATTACACTTAACATATCGTAACATCAAAGCATACAACCCCACATTCACCACAGTAATAATCTCCATAAGATGTCCTTATCAGTATTCACACAACCACACAATTGGTGCCAAGACATCTTTTTCAATATGTCAGGTCTGTATCCAGTCTGTTCTCCTAAAATGGGACCACTTCTGTTACATTACACTGACCTTGACTCTAGCAAAAGAAATGCTCACTATGTGACTCCTATGGATGGTGAGGTATAGTTCAGAGTGAACCTCATATAAACCAATAAGCTAAATTCATAAAACTTATGGCAGTAAGTATACACACCTTGACCCTTTCTGTTCTATGGACGTACATGTATGTTTCTCGACATGTTAGCTCAGGTTAGTATTGTTAGTTTCTGTTAGAAGTTAGATTAGGGAGGTTACATTAAATTAGAGTACATTCTGTTATAAGTTAGGTAGGTTAGGTTACGGCTCTACATATACATCCTTTAAGTCGTATTTTGTCTGAAGCTGTCCGAAATTTGGCCCACACAGGGTTAATGGCATATACTTCTGCCCTCAAAACTCACATATTGCACTAGGCTGAAATCGGTTTCTTCCTTTGCCCTCTAAATGAAAGCTCCCTTCCCCCCGCATCCTGTACCAATTTTTCTTTTGGACAAAATAAATCTAAATTGAGCCGTACGTCCCTGCCGCACGTGGGTCGAGAACCACGCTCTGCTACCATTTTGTGCCGTTTCCCTTCCCATGTGGAAGGGAACCCAGTTCTCCTACCCACTTACACCCATGGACTCCTATTCAAGCGGGCAAAGGACAGGCTCATAAGACGACTTGCTTGCACGTGGTGCACTATGCCTCCCCAAGGTCGAGTAGGGGATCTCGGGAGAGGAAAACCACTGTCGGCACTATGGGCCAAGCTGGACGGATCTGCTCGTCTGAACTAGTAGGGAACACGCACACAACCCAAGTATACACAAATACGACAGTCGTTTCTAACATATAAATAAATGTGTATATTGATAACAAGAGATACAGGTGACTCTGCCTGATGGGCAGTAGCTGGTCAAAACACTCTCACAGTTAATACAGAATTAACTCTGTGCTGAGCGCACAGACACAATATATAAGCACGCCTCATGGCATCCATTTGACTGTACTGGGAACACAAGTATATATTCATACTTACGCGCCTGAAGGGCGACCGGCTATTCAAGCCAACAAACAAAACCATTTACTTACGCCACACGGCGTC